CACACACACACACACACACACACACACACACACACACACACACACACGGGCACTGGGGACAGGACCAGCCTGAGCAGAGCGGGCCTCCAGCTCGAGATGGAGGGCTTCGGATCCTGGCAGCACTGCGGGCACTGTCTCCACCAGCAGCATTTCCGGGGCCCTGGGTGGCCCTCAGCACCAAAAATAATCATAAAGATCTGACTGGAAGGGTTCCTTCCGAGTCCCAGCAAAGGCCAGTCACTCCAAACAGCTGCTCCAGACACCTCGGGAGAAGCCAGGTCCCAGCAGGGCCTCAGGGCCTCATCCACAAGACCTGTGTCCAAAGCTCAGTCCCAAGGTAGACCTCAGCTACCTTGTTGGAGTACAAGCAAGCATTGGTGTCTGTTCCAGGACTTAGGAGAGTCCAGCCTTCCTAGTGTCTGTCCCAGCTTCGCAAGTGGCAGGGGTGTCAGAGAACCTACTAGGTCTCTGGAGGAAAGTGGTTCCAGTGGCAACCTGGCTATGCCTTCTGTCTCCCCGAGTTGAAAAACAGTCTCTCCTGCCTCCAATCCACCCACTGGCCAGTGAGTTCCCTTCCACCTACCCAGCTGCCAGGGCCAGGGGTACTGGGTCTCTAAACACGTTGGCCCTTTTCCTTCCAACAGCAGGCAGCCCTCAGCAGCTGCTCTCCTGCCGTGTCTGAAGGTGTGCGGGGCTGGCAGATCCTTCCCAGGCTCCACTGCCCTGCCAGGCGAGGTCTGTCCCAGCGTCTCCCATGTGTCATCTTCCACACTGCATGCGGTGCTACAGGGCCCTTGTCCTTGTGGGAGCCCACGGTTGGACAATTATCTAGAAGGGAAATAGCTAGGTCAAAGGTATGGGGAGTTTGAAGTGTTACCAAATTGTTGTAAAAGAGCCTGGCCGCGTGCCTGCCGCTGGCTGCCGGTGGAAGGCGGCTCTCTGCCCCACTGCGGCACCCCAGATGGAACTGACACTTCCTTGCTGGTTTTAACTTACAATTATTTGGGGGGCTTGGGTTTTTTTTGGTTTTTTTTGGTTGGTTTTGTTTTGGAAACAGGGATTCCTGTAGCTCAGGCTTGTCTCGGACACTAGGTAGTTTAAAATGATTTTGAACTTTTGATTCTCCTGCCTCCGGCTCCTTAATTTGCAATTACTTGTTTTGCTTACGTGGTTGGTTCAGTTTGTTGCTGTTTGTTTGGGTGTTTTTGAATCAGGGTGTGACTTTATAGCACTGACTCTCCCAGAACCACGCACTGTGTAGTTCAGGCTGGCCTTGAATGTACCAAAATCTGCCTCTGCTTCCGGAGTGCTGAGATTGAAGGTGTATGCCACCACACCCAGCCCCTTATCTGCAGCTTTGAAGCTGTAGACATTTCATGGTTGGGTTTAATATGGATTTGTGACCTTTTCACAGAGGACAGGGGAAGCTGGAGACTTAGGGCGACAGACTCTCGGCGGTCTAGAAAGGGAGCCTCTACCTAGGAGAGGGGCGGTGCTGGGAGGCCAGGGCCGGGCTGAAGGGCTACCCCGCGTGAAGCGGGGGCTGAATCCTTCAGGTTCTTGGTTTGAGGTGCACAAGACAAAGTCCCAGGTACAATGAGCCCATTTTCAAGTGGCAGCTGAGGCCAGATCCCAGTCACCAAATAACTGCTTAGTGCTCCTGGCCTGCACAGACCTAACCAGAGCTGCCCGGAAGGGGTGGGTTAGCAGGAGGGCTGAGGTTGTCCAAGGGCCACAGGGTCCCGGGTGGAAGCGCCTGACGATCGAGGCTACCAGTCCGGACTAGCCCAGCTCCTCCGATCAGTCTGGGCTCCTCCCGTCTGTGCAGTGCAGTGGCTGGGTTGAGCGGTTTGTTTTTTCTTTTAAAAACCCTCATGGCACAAGCCTTTAACCCCAGCTCTGATAGGCAGAGGGAAGAGGATGATTATGAATTCAGGGCCAGCCTGGCTACATACTGGAGCCCAGTCAAAAAGCAAGAAAATAAAATAAAATAAATAGAAAAAAAAAGGTTGGTGTTTAAAATGTTAAGGTAAAATGTGCTGTAGTTGCAAGTCATTTCTTAAACCCCACTTATGTAACAGCTTCTGTGCCATCTGACAGTGACCACACTGTCCCGCAGGCCGCCCTTATCTGAAGATCCAGAGGGAAAAGAAAGGACTGAACAACCGGCCCTTGTCTGATGGCCTGCTTGTGGAGGCTCACTGTCGCAGGCTCGAATGGCCAGCCCTCCACCTCAGGAGAGTACTCCTGGTCTGAGTGTCTCCAGCAGGGAAGGAGGGTGGGGAGAGGGAGGGGCAGGCAGGAAGTGGCCAGTGGGCTAGGCCTTGGGCACACCCACAGCTGCCCCTCCCTGGCTCCTTGGAGCCAAAGCTTCTGTTTCTAGGGAAACTGGAAACGTTTTTTTTTTTTTTTTTTTTCTTTAAAAAACGTTCGCTTTGAAACCTGTTTGGCAGGATTTCCCTCTGTAGCCTTGGCTGTCCTAGACCTCAGATCCGCAGACCAGGTCACCCGGAGCTGAGAGATCCACCTGCCTCTGCAACCCTAGTGTTTGGATCAAAGGTTGCGCCACCACCACCCAACTACAGAACAATTATTCTTTCCTTCTTTCTTTCTTTCTTTCTTTCCTTCCTTCCTTCCTTCCTTCCTTCCTTCCTTCCTTCCTTCCTTCCTTCCTTTCTTTCATTCTCTTTCTTTCTTTCATTCTCTTTCTTTCTTTTCTTTGTTGTTGGGTTTCTCTGTGTAGCTTAGCCCTGTAGCCCAGGCTGGCCTCAAATTCAGAGCTCCTCCTGCCTCTGCCTCTAAAGTGCTGGAATTAAAAGCGTGTGCCACTACTGCCCTGCCAACATGATTCTTGTAAGGATCAAGAGAATATCTTTGTGGATAAAAGTGCCGCTCAAGCCCTGAGTTCAGATCCTGCCCCCACATAGGCCCAGTGTGGCAGCATGGGCCTGCCATGGTGGATTCAAACTCAGTGAGAGACCTCATTTCAAAGCATTCAGACACCTCAGCCAGGTGTGATGGCGCACACCTGTGACCCTAGCCTTCTCTATGAAGGCCAGCCTGGTCTACATATCAAGTTCCAGGACAGCTAGAGTGACATAATAGAGACCCTGTCTCAAAAAATTAAGTTAAATCGGGCGGTGGTGGCACACGCCTTTGAGCCCAGCACTCAGTAAGCAGAAGCAGGCAGATCTCTGAGTTCGAGGCCAGCCT